AACGATAATAAACATTAACGTCGGAAAGAGAAAGTGCTTCTAAACCTAATGTGAGTGTGTGTGTGTGTGTGTGTGTGTGTGTGTGTGTGTGTGTGTGTGTGTGTGTGTGTGTGTGTGTGTGTGTGTGTGTGTGTGTGTGTGTGTAAAGCTCCAACAGAAGCGGGCTGAGGTCTTCGAGGCCTTCCAGGTGTTTCACGAAGGTGTTCGTCATCAAGGCGGGGATCTCTTCAGCGCTGAATGTTTGACCTCACTGAGAGCTCTGAAACACAGCATCACACAATATATGAGTATAGTCAGAACAGTCCACATACAGGTAAGCCTTACCAAACACCTTTCCTTTGTAAGAACATACAAAATGTTGTGTTTAGGTTACAGTGTGACAGGAATTACCTCCAGGGTATGATGCACATGATTATAACACTTCAAATAGATAGCCAATAGGAACACTGGTGACATCCCTATCAACATTGGGCACGCAATAGCATGTCAGTATGTAGTAAAATAATGTGTTTTGTCACCAGTCCATGTGCAAATATAGATGTGGTACATGGACATGTGAGACCTTTATGGACTCCAGAAGCATCACGTTATCTATCAGTGTTTCCTTTTTAATGTCCAACTCCCAGTAAGTTAACATTCTTTGTTGAAAGTTGGGTAAGTGATATTCCTTTGTGTATAGAATACCAAGAAGATTACAAATAAAATGTTGTGTGGTACAAACAATATATTTAGATGCAGAACTATTATACTTCTCCGTGAGCTCTGCAACAGAGAGAAGCACACGGAGTGTCGGAAAGGTTCTCACATTCGAACTTCTGTTCAGGCAGCGGAGTGTTCCAAAGCAATTCCCCGCCAGGACAACAGAGGGCGTAGCGCTGTTCTGTGGTATCCTGCCACTCATGTCGCCGTTCACCGATAGTGTATTTACTAATGTGTTTATATATTTCAGAGACTTTATAACACGGACAAAATTGTCCTTCATTCTCATCCACCTCCGCATGTGGTCACCACCCCAAACCCATTTTTTCCACAGTTTCTGTCCACGTTTGCTCCGTAGTTTGTACTCGTTTACTCACGGGTGAATAAATGTTATTATTTTTGGGCTTTTTCCACGATGCGTTCTTCAATCTGTTCGGGGTCTGCTGCTAAATATCTGTTAACTTTTTAACAGAGCTACAGCGATGCTGGTGATGAATATATAGGAAGCGGCATCCTGACCAATCACAGGCTTGCGTTCGCCGTCACTTTCGACGGATGTTTAGCATTTTTGGACACGTCTCTGTCACCCTCTGTGAGCCTGTCGGACAGCCCTTGCGCCGACGCATAATGGCGTAGCGAGTCTCCGCACCGACGCAGACGGAGAAGTATAAATCAGGCTTAGCCAGGAACCAAGAAAGTAGCGTGAATTTGTTATTATTAACAAGACACAGACACAACACGAGCCCTTATCACTGAGAAGTGATCAGCCGCAGTAAAGCCTTACTTTGCAACTTTTTCATGTGTTTGAATCATTTCCTTGAGCCAGGATGTGCTAAAACGACTTTTTACAGGGTTTTTGAAAGGCCACCCAGCCCCTATCGCCCATTGTGGCCAGAATATTCCACTCTGTTGGCAGCGGACATACCTGGCGCTGCAGCCTGCTTCCAGAAAGTTTCCTGCATGTTTTAGATCATGAACACAGCTATTTGTTTAATTTAGTGATGAATCCCTCCTGTAGACACTAAAGCCTGCGTCTGCATCAGTGCGGAGACACGCAACACCATTATGCGAGGGCTCTCCAGCAGGCTCGCAAGGACGGGCGGAGTCGAGCTCGCTTTTCTAAATATCTGTCCGTCAAGACGGAGAACGCAAGCTTGTGATTGGTCAGGGCAATGCTGTTGTCTACACTGCTGCTATTGCACCTTCAAAAACATAAAGGGAGCTGAGGACAAATAGCAGCAGACCATGGAGAAGCTTGAAGAATACCTCGCAAAAAAACTCTAAAACCATGAACGTTTAATTCCCCCGTGACTGGAGGAGTGAAAAGATACACAGCAAGAGTTTTATTTGTGGACGGAAATGACAGGAAACGTGGGTTTAGAGGTGGCAAGCGTATGAAGAGGTGGAGGAGGATGAGAGACAAATTTGTCTGTGTTAAAAAGTGTCTTATATACAAAAAACACAATATAAACACACTATCTTGGACCGGATACATGACAGGATACCACAGAACGGCACTACGCCCTCTGGTGTCCTGCCGGGGAATTGCTTTGCAACACTCCCCAGGAGACGGAGAAGTATGAGGGCAAAACGTCTCTGTCCGTGCGTGAGTGTCTGTCCCTTTTGGAGCTGACGGAGAAGTATAAATCCAGTTTAAGGAAGGCTGGGAGATGTTTCAGCTATTAGATTAAGACGTTAAAAAGAGGAACGCACATCGAGATGTTTTTTTCAGTTCTACAAACGGACACTAGGGGGCGGTAAAAGCAAGCCAAAACTGCCTAGTTCCTCTTTCATCCTCTGAATCCTGTTAACATGATTGTTACATTTTGTTGTTTATTTGGTTTTATCTGACCTTGTCTTGCTGACAGAATGACAACTCTACATCATTGCAAACTGTGAGAGAAATCTGTGGCAACAAGACCAGTTTCAGTGACGTGCTAAAACGTTACAAGGAACTAGTGAAAGGAAAGCTGAACCACCTAGCACTGGCTCTCAGACCCACCCTTTGTCCTCACTGAAAACCAAAAGACCTGGAAGACAATCAAACAAAGGACAACTGTGATTCTTCAGAGTAGGATGCAGCAGGGAGTAAAAGCACCAGTCTTCATCACAAAGACTCAAGACACCTGGGCTGGACCTGTTTATGGACTACATGGATCTGGAAAAGGCTGTTTCTTGCTTTGGTGTTCGCATCAGAGACAAGAAAAAATACTGATGAACCAAAGAAGAGATGAGAGTCACAGATCACACATACAGATGAGACATTGGGACATCAGTAGTATTGTCCTTGGCATTTGTCCTTCTGGATTTGAGAGCCAGAGGAGACTTGCAAGGGACGGATTGGACAAAACAAAAACAAACAAAGCAGAAAAGTGTGGATGCAGAGCAACCACAGAAATCTTCATACAGGGTCACATCTAGAGATATGTTCTGAGTCTTCATGCAAGCTCACAGTAAAAGGTAAATGACCTGCACTAGTACAGCGCTTTTCTAATTCAGAGGACTCCAAAGCAGTCACTATCTTTGTTTGTGATAGCAACATTTGATTTGATTATGAGAGATGCTGAGAAAAAAATGATGCTGCATTTAATTTTTTTAGACGCTGAGCTGGGATTAACGTCGTAGAGGATTACTAATGCCATCCTGAACATAAATGCTGTGGTAACAAATTACCACCCACTAGATTATGTGTAAGCAGCTTATTTCTACAGGTGTCTCTACGTTTAACGTGTTGTTGACCAACCACAATGGGGTTTGAGGTTCTTTCAGCCTTCCAAAACTTTTCTGGCAATTTCTGAGTTCATATAACGCTTTTCAAACCCGTGTCCCAGTTGGACACACGTGAGATTTTACTTCAACACATTGTCAAACAAAACAAAGTCAGGCAAGCAGCTTTAGTGTTGTGAGAGAATACGAACTCTTAGCCAAGGATTTGTTAAATTAATACTGTCTAAACTTGGACCGATGAAGAAAGTGTCAAACTGCTGTTGGGACAGAAGGATTTACCTGCACTCTGCGTCAAAGACTCACCTTATTTAACATGTTTTGTGCAATCAGCTACACGCTCTGTTTAATGCTGTATGAATATTGTTTTCTCGTTTCTTATTTTTATGTTTATTTACAGAAATCTTGCCAAGCAGCACAAAGGTGCAGACGTTCTTCCTCCACTGCTGAGTCTCACGCATGAGTGTAGCGCCCCCTGTGGGCACTCAATGAGAGGTGCACTAGTGTGAGGGGTGGAAGTCAAACATGACATGGCACTGATGGTTTGTCTGAAAGAAGGACGGGGAAAAAATAACATACCTCCAAATAAGCTATTTAAGTTTTTATGGGATACAGTTTAAGGCGCAGGTTGATGTATGTCCTGTCCGTTCTGTAATATAAAATATTCCAATGTGAACAATGCGACATGACTTAAACTTGAATTTATTGATTAAGGCAAACATGAAAAATATACACTCACTAGCCACTTTATTAGGTCCACTCTGTGGGAAATTTATGATGTGAGGCTCCCGTTCCTCCATTTCTCAAAGGTTCTGGACTTGAATGATATGCTGTTCTGCGGACCTCAAATCGACTTTCTTCTCCATTCTGATGGTCATTTTGAACTTCAGCAGGTCCCTACTACATCATGATGGATTGTTGCTGCCGTGTGATTGGCTGACCAGATGCTTACTAGGGCACCTTTTAAAGTGGCAGGTGAACTATTGTGCACATTATTTTTACTTTTTATTATGTACATACGTCAAATGTATGTTTATAATATAAAAACTTGAACTGACAGCGTTCAAAGAAGACTACCTGAGTGAGTTCTCTGTTATATGTTATTTACTGAAGAGTACTTTGGACTGTTGGGACAGAATATGGATCAATACACCATTGCCCTAATTTGAGCAACTTAGCTAATATAATAATGAATGTAGAACAATGTTTTTTTTAATCAAAGTCATTGAAAGTATAGTGAAAGAACAAAACTGTTTTGCTGAGAAGGGCAATAAACATCAGCAGCGGCCTTGAAGAAGGCAGGACTCTGATTGGACCAACCTAACACATCATATGATCGTAAGCAACAAGTTGGAAACTCATAGGAAACATGGAAAGTGCTAGTGACAAAATTCTGTAAAGCTAAACTCAAACAGCCAATTAAGGGAGGATTTTGTGTTACATTGAAAATAAGTTACTGTAGTGCAGATGTGGAATGCATACATTTAGTCGTGTACATAATGTATTTATTAATACAAATTTTAATAATAAAATTATTGAATTGGCGATAATCAAGCTTTAGTTTAAATATTTGAATTAATCACGCGCATAAAATTCCTCATGCTTTTAAAGTGAAAACTCTACAGGAAGTTGTTGAGGCAGAGTTGCGTTTACGTGCGTCTGTCACATGATAATCGGTTTCGAAGTCAATGAAAAGTGTCTACAGGCTACTTGTGGGTAAACCGGTGTTTTAGTTAAGAGTTTTTGGGAAGTGAAGGGACGTCGTGCGGTTCCGTGAGTGAGTGAGTTTGGAACACTTGCTTGCGTTTTCATTTTTTTGTGTGTGTGTGTAAACAACGCACTTTAGTGATGCAGCTATCCGTGAAGTTGCGTTTGAGGCAGTTGGCAGTCTGGACGCTCCACTGCTACACTTGTTTTTAATTAGCCGGAAACCTTTATCGACATAGTCTGAGTTATCGTGACAAACATTTGTATTTGTTCTATTAAGCTGGGACATTTCAGCCTGAAGTCTTTGAAACTTCGAGGCGTAAACAAGCCGGACAGGTTTCATTATGTCGGAGCGGACTCCTCTCCTTCACTACCGCCTCGTTAGTAGCGTTAATGAGTCCGAGCAGCCGTCTCCTCCGGCCACGGAGCCCTCGGAGCAAGTCCCGGGATCCGGCGGCAGCCCGCGGAAGCAGAGGTCCTCTCCGCAACGACCACCGCAGAAGCTCTCCGTCTTCTTCGGTGTGGTTATCCCCACCCTGCTGTCAATGTTCAGCGTAGTTGTCTTCCTGAGGATAGGTGAGTTTTTGTTATAACCAGCGCTAATAGCACTGATTTGTGTTACTGTGCACCAAACTCTATTCAAATTTCGACAAACTTAGCATTTATTTGTTTATATTTTAAAACTGAAGTTCCCATTGATACGATTTGCCCATGTTAGGAACTGATGTTAAATTCGCCATCTATAAAACCAATACAAATTATTCCTGTGGGGCATTTTTATTGTGTTTTTTAATCGCTAATCAGTGTATTCAACTTGACTACCGATAGAGGGCGCTATTTAACATTTCTAATACCATTTATACCTTACTTGATTTTGCTACTTAATTGTTCCACTATAATAACAACACTACACATAAATACATTGTGCTTCACGTTATGGTGTATTTCCTCCTCACCTACTTTCACACTGGGCAGTACAAGATGCTCTACAATTTCAGGGCTGAGTTTCAGGCTGTCAGCTTATAAATACTTGAGTTATAGGAAAACGTTTGAAAATGTGTTTAAAAATATATAAATCACTGGTTTCTACAGCTCAAGCCTTATGGTTGTATTATCAGGTAGGAGAAAAAGGGACAGTCATGAACAATCTGATACTAATCAGAAGGGTAAAAGTTCAGTTTTTCCCAAGCAGATCAAGTTTGTGATCATAGCTCATTGAAAAGGTGCTGCCTGAAGTCACTGACGGTTCTGTTTTATGACTTTACTCTTCACTCTGAGTTCCTGCTTACAAATAAAACTTCCTCCCAGATGTGTGTGGGCTCTTTTTCTGTTTTATTCTGCTCTCCCAACCCTCTTCCAGTCTCGTGAGGCATCAGCTGCTGCACGCACAAGTGCACATGCTGTTGGTTAGACTTTAGACAAACTGCACAGTGCTCTGAATGTGGATGTGAAACTGGTAAATTTTGCACATTTGATTACGGTCTGGTGTGAATAAAGTGTCTTTTTTTTCAAATATATACAGTGGGGCAAAAAAGTATTTAGTCAGCCACCGATTGTGCAAGTTCTCCCATTTAAAATGATGACAGAGGTCAGTAATTTTCATCATAGGTACACTTCAACTGTGAGAGACCGAATGTGAAAAAAATCCATGAATTCACATGGCAGGATTTTTAAAGAATTTATTTGTAAATCAGGGTGGAAAATAAGTATTTGGTCAATAACAAAAATTCAACTCAATACTTTGTAACGTTGGTTACGTATTGTAACCCCAGATTCTATGAGACTAGTCGCAGCCCTTAAGCTAGCTGCTATTCAGCCAATCATGAAGAGCTAAAATGTACGCCCACCAATAGTGGGCCCCCTCGTGGTATATAACCGCAGTGACCCCACTGCTCAACTCCAATGGCTCTTATTCCCATCATAACCAGTGGGGCCAGTGGCTTAAGGGCTGCGACTAGACTCATATAATCTGGGGTTACAATACGTAACCAACGTTCTATTTCGTCTAGTCTTAGCCCTTAAGCTAGCTGCTATTGGAATAAAGCGCAGCTGGATTGGTTTACGCCCCACTGGTTAACACAACCAATGGACACACCCAATCAAATCTCCTCTAGTGGGGGACGTTCAGCCTCAGACCAGGCTTAAAGACTGAGGCAGCCACGATAAAAGAGGGGCCCCCACTAAAAACATAATCCACAAGAGGATGAAATCCATCTCAGCAAGGCCAATGAGGTGCCATAAGCATTCATTTAGCCTGCTGGGGTCCAAGCACTGAACGAGTGATGGAACCTGAAAACACATCTCGTAAATAATAACGAGTAAAGGAACTGGGTGAAGCCCATGAAGCAGCCTGACAAATGTCTTCCATTGACACACCACTGAGGAGCGCCATAGAAGAGGAAATCCCTCTGGCTGAGTGAGCCCTGAGTGCCTCAGGGGGATCCTGCCCTGATGATGTGTACGCGAGTGAAATGGCGTCACACAGCCAGTGTGAAAGACGCTGGGCCGACAGCGCCTGACCAAGGGAAGACTCCCTGTAGCACAAACAGGTTTTGTGAGCGACGAATCCCTGAAGTGCGTGACACATATCGTGCAAGCGCGCGCACCGGGCAGAGAAGGTGCGAAGCCGCCTCCTCCTCAGAATTATGGGGAGGAGGAAAAAGTCCAGCCAATGAAATTGACCTGGATTTGAAGGAAGCATTAATGCTTTTGGGCACAAAGGCTGGGTTGGGGCATAAAACAGCAGACCCGCCATCCTCCCGGATCCTGAGGCATGCGGGAGCCACTGAGAGGGCGGTCAGATCACTCACTCTCTTAACTGATGCTAGCGCCAGCAGCAATGCAGTTTTAAGCGACAGGAACTTGAGTGAGACCTGGTCCAAGGGTTCAAATGGAGCTCCAGATAAGCCGTGCAGAACCACCGTTAGATCCCATTGGGGAAAAAGCGGGCGGGACACAGGTCTGTTCCTCCTGACACCTTTTAGAAAACGTTTTGTGAGGGGATGATTGAAAACAGATCTATCTCCAAAACCCTGATGACAGGATGAGATGGCTGCAGCATATGTCTTAACAGTGCTGAATGCGAGGCCCCTGTCCATCAGTATCTGCAGAAACGATAGGACATCCGCCAGCTGGCAGGAGAGCGCTTGAACATTTCGCTCTGTGCACCATTTCTGGAAAGCTGCCCATTTAGCAGCGTAAGACGCAATGGTAGAAGGCGCCCGCGCACTCTGAATCGTGGCAACCACATCATGCGGCAGCCCAGAAGCCTCTAAGCGTGACCGCTCAGCCGCTGGCCTATTTCTGGAGGATGTTTGATTATCCCATCCGCCTGGAGAAGGGCGTCCGCCCTCCACGGGAGCCTCCACGGGGAGCCGGACACTAGCGCTTGCAGTTCCGGAAACCATGACGCAGACAAGCGTCTGGGAGCCACCAGAATCACCGAGAGCCGTTCCGACCGAATTCGGTCCAGGAGACGGGGAATCAGAGGGACTGGTGGAAACGCATAAAGGGGCGTTCGAGGCCAGGGCTGGTGTGAGAAGGCGTCCGCCCCGAGCGGGGGTCCGTCCCGGGGACTCAGGGAAAACCACAGGCGACACTGAGCGTTTTCGCGAGCCACGAACAGATCCACAGACGGTTCCCCGAACCTGATCCAGATCTGTGATATCAGTGCAGGATGCAGACGCCAGTCGGAGTCGCAGGGTCCCCCTCTCGACAGGATGTCTGCCGCTACATTCAGTACCCCCGGAATGTAGATGGCTCTGATGGACAGCAGATGGACATGTGTCTAACACAGTAAATCTGTGGCGACACGCAACAGTGGGAGGGATCGAACTCCCCCTTGGCGATTTATGTAGGCTGCCGCCACCTGGTTGTCTGTGTGAACTTCGACATGACGGCCCTCGAGAAGGGCGGCGAAGTGTCTGATCACATTCCTCAATGTCATAAGCTCCAACACATTTATGTGCTCGTGCGTGTGGGAGGGCCAGCGATCTGCCACTGTATGGGACAAGCACGTGCCCCCCAACCCCGACAGTGACGCTTCCGTAAACACAGATACGTGTGACGCAGGATGTCCGATGGGAACCCCGCGTGAGAGGATGCAGGGGTTCCCCCAGTGAGCGAGGTCCCCGCCCACTGAAGGGGGAATCCTCAACATACGTCTCTTCTGACGTATTGGGTGTACCCGGAGGCGGATGAACCAGCGTTGCAAGCGCCTCGTGCGCAGCAAACCTAGCGGTACCACCGAATGGGCTGCGGACATCATGCCCAGGAGTTTCATGACTAACAGGGCTCTCACGATCTTGCGGGGTTGTACACGGGAGATCACCGTGGAGAGATCTGCCGCTCTTGCAGGCGACAAACGTGCTCTCATCAGGGAGGCGTTCAGCTCCACCCCGAGATACACAATCGACTGGGACGGAAGGATGGAGCTCTTCTCCCAGTTTATAGAAAACCCTAGGGTTGACAGATGCTCTGTCAACCTCCTGGTTTGCTGTGACGCCTCGTCCTTGGACCGAGCGCACAGGAGAAGATCGTCCAGGTAAAATAAGACCCTCATTCCCTCCGTGCGCAGTGGCTGCAGCGTGGTCTCCAGACATTTGGAGAAGGTGCGCGGGGCTAGCGAGTAGCCGAAAGGGAGGCGATTGAACTGATATTGAACTCCCTTGAACGAAAAACGCAGAAACTTCCGGTGGTTTGGAACTACTGGTATGTGGAAGTATGCGTCTTTCAGGTCGATTGACGTGAACCAATCCCCGGGGTGCACGTATTCCAGGACTTGTCTCATCGTTAACATGCGGAAATGCATTACTGCTATGGAGCAGTTGAACAGGGACAGGTCGAGAATCGGCCTCATTCCTCCCGACTTCTTCGGTACTACGAAGTAGCGGGAGTAGAAGCCCGAGAGTTCTTGTCCGCGAGGGACTCGGGAAATAGCGCCCTTGGACAGAAGTTCCCGCAGCTCCAGCTCTAGGGCCTGAGACTGTACTTGCGATGTGAACATCGTCTCCACGATCCCGTTGAAGGGAGGTGGAGTGGCCTGAAAATGAAGTGTGTGACCGCAATGAATGGTGTCCGAAATTCATTTGCTCATGATACAAAGGCGGCGCCACTCGTGCGCGCGTTCCGACAGTGGACGCGTGTGCGCGGTCACGTGAACAACGTCCGAGGGTTGTGCATGCGCCCTTACCGCCGTCGCCCGTACCAGAGAACTGGGGGCGACCCATGGAGGGCTGCGCTCGAAAGGGCGAGTGCGAAACAGCTGGAACAGGTTGGTCCACACCGCGGAGCGTGGAGTCCGAGAGTGAAGGACGAGTGGGAGCCGGGCCTGTGCACGGGGGCGACAAAGTGCCAGCGGATGGAGCCGCGCACTGTGCCGCCGCACGTGGTCGAGACATCGACCTGACATCCCGCCCCACCCAACGGTGTGGGGAGAGCGGGAAGAGTTGGGCCTGGCCGGATGCTGGGGCCGGAGCGCAAATGGAGCGCACCCTTACGGCTGGCCTTGTATTATGACTGCCTGTACCTGCAGGAACATGTGTGCGTGCAGCAGTGCTTGGTGTGGGGAACGTGTG